CGATGCGGTCACGCAGCTCATCCGTCTATCTTCTGATTGTGGTAATTTTGTCCGGTTACGTCACTACCTGATGGACCAGCAATCATGGTGTCAGCCACATATTGGTAGATCGCTGTGGCAGTTTTGATACCTAATGCAATGCCGGTGTATTGGAAGAGACCTCGCTGGGTGTTGAACTCGAGCAGTGTTCGGAATTCAGGTCCTATTTCGATTTGTAGGTACATTTGCGGAAGGTTCAGTTTAGAAAAACTACTGTCACTATTAGGCTTCGTGAATAAATTCTCTGGAACTGAAAGCGAATGCAGTTTGGTTCTAGGATGGCTTTGAGGACTGTTGAAAACTACGGCTTAAATGCAAACGGATCCATTATACTTATTGACCACAATGATAGGAGCTAACCACACAGAAAACGAAACAGGCTGCATAAACGCTTAAGCTCCTGGTCGACAATAGACAGAGCAGTCTAGGATACTGGTATTTCGGGCGGAAGACGGGTAAGTTGCCGGGTCGTAGTTGAATCGCGGCTTTAGTGCGAGTGCAGAGACCAAGGGTATACCTGAAAGCGTCAGAGGATTGACGATTTATCTGTTCGGTCATGTCTGAGGGCACAGTATTGGACTGCACTAAGTTGTAAATGGAACGAATCGGCAAATTCATGAGACCGAGTAGTTTAAGGTGGTCAAGCCCGTAGCAGGTAGCATCAATGGCATTTCCGCCGAAGGACACTGAGCACTCCGATCGCCTAATTAAGTGCACCGAGCCACTGCAAGCGCTGGTGGGTGTCAATATGGTTTAATCATGGGCATAACAAGAGAACACCAGAGCTTCCTCGAGATGTGGGTGATATCAGCTGCTGTGTCAAGCTAAAGGCGGATTGGGCACCCATTAATGTGAACCAGGACGTACGCCCGGTTGTGGAAAGTATTGACTTGGAAGGTGGGGATTAGACGGGATGATCTAGCAGCTCTCTTGGAATTTAGCGTCTGCGACCCTTGTGAACTGGGCTGACCTTTTCTTATTGGACGATGGTGACCGACAAAACCTTTCTTCATGTCCAACTGGACGACACCACCGGCAACGGTTCTGTCTGAACAGACTGAACTTGTGTTAGTGTCGGGAACCACAGTTGCAACAAGCATATAGAGGCTACTTCGAATTGGTGTGACTAACATGAACTGACGTTGGTGGCTACGTTTGCTTGGATTGGATGGTGACGACCATGGGAACAAGACGAGACATCTGGTAGGTTTGCTTGATCACTTAGAATCGTGTTTTGGATTGAGTAACCTCTCATCAACGATCCGCCTCAGCTTACTTGGTCGCCATGTGCCTTGTTTGCAGATGACCTGAGGATTTGGAGAGTTATTAGCAACTCAGGCGGCTCTGGCCTACTCAGCAAGACCTCCGCATGTGGTCAGCAGGGGTCCGTCTCCGAATAAACGCAAGCAAATCGTATTCATGAGCCCGGAGAAGGGTGGTGACAGCCGAACTTACGCCATTTACGGCTGACTGCTACATCCCACGCCTTCCGTGAAGGACCTAGGTGTACTCTCGCGCTGCGACTTGATGTCCATTTATAACACGACCTGTTGGGCGTAGCCTAGAGGTAACGAGTTTGTCTCGTAACCTTGCGGCGCGGGTTCGAATCCGCGTAGGGGTGGGCGTCCTCGCGGTATACTCAGCCCGCGTGCGACTGGTGGTAGTCGCACGGCAGCGAAGCGCCGTTACGACGTACAGCTGACACATTATTATTATTATTATTATTATTATTATTATTATTATTATTGTTATTATTATTATAACATGGCCTGGCTATATGGTAACGGACTGCGCATGCTTTCGTTGCTCTAACGCAGCTTCTGTACTTGGTCCGAAGAGGTCATCAGTCGGCCGCCTATTGTACAATCACCCGAGGCTAGGCATAAAAGATCGAACGTGTCCAACACGTCGCTACGCAGCTCATTCCTGGTTTACTAGGAGTACCATACGAAGACTGCTGTATCTGGTCCACTACACCTTCTTCTATCGTTGGTCGTGAGTCGAGCTCATTATGATGTACCTCTGTAATTTTTTCATGTTGTAGCCGTTACTACTTTTGCGAACGCCATGCATCACACGCGGGCACCGGTACAACCTTGTGGTGAGGATGTAAAACGATTACCCTACCTCTTGTGTTTCGATCGGAGAGTATTAATGTTTGGTACAGTACAATTGTCGGCGCGTGGACTTAGGGATCACAAGTCGGCCTGGTACTATGAGGGCTAGGGTTCGCACCTGCGCAGGTGAAGGGGCGAACCTCGCAGTATTCCTAGTCCACATGCGATTGGTGGTGGTTGCGCAGCAGCGAGGCGTCGGTACTGCGTATCGGCGTACTTCTGATGCCTTCTCTTCTTGGAAAAGTCCGCTGGAACAAGTCATGAGGGCCAAATCTATGATGCACTTCAAAAGCTTTTTGGACTTACCTTTCGCCGCCATTCGATTCAGAGAGCGATCGTACATTGGCATTGAGCGCTGACATTTGTGGGCCGATGATACCGGAAGTCAGCTGTTTTAAATGTTACCTAAGGAATTGCAGACTGCTTAAAGTATCAACAGATAGTTGCTAATTTTTATGACATCTTGGATCACATTCGGATAGAGTTGCACAGGTTTAAATATCTATTTGCTCTCACAATAGATTGTTCATATTTTTGAGCCGATTGCGCCAGTGTGATGTCGGGTTCCAAATCGATCTTAGCCAGTGTTCTGGTTCCTAGCTCTGCATGACTTGGTGACTGGAGGCCCCAAACGAAAACCAGGCATCAGATCTGGCTATCGGTAAGAGATCCATGCTTGAAACGATCATACACACGATTGACGAGGTCAGTGTAGTGACAAATAACGTGTCAGCTGTACGCCGTAACAGCGCTTCGCTGCCGCGCGACCACCACCAGTCGCGCGCGGGCTGAGTATGCCGCGAGGACGCCCACCTCTACGCGGATTCGAACCGGTGACCTTATGATTGCAAAGCAAACGTGCAGACCACTCGGCCACCGGCCAACGTAGTGACAAATGCTAGGGTCACCTATATGTCGCAACGCGAAGGCAAAGAATCACCACAACTCTTCTGGTAAATAAAAACCACCGATTGTAAGCGCTAGGATAGTTTAGTTAAATATCCTAACTATAGGCTAAGACGACACCGACACACAAGGCTAGCAGCGGGATCCTATACGAATCGGCAGCAACGCAGGGAGTGGCGAGCGCGAGGACGCTGCGAATGTGTGCCAAGCTATTCCTACAATCGCATGCGGCCGGACACAGACGGCTTAGATTACACGAGTATATGATTAAACTACATATTTTAAACAATTTTCATTCCTACCTCAAGCGAACGGCATAATCGGCGGTTGCTACACCAACAAAGGTGACATATTCATCGGCGTCTCACTTGATGGTTTGTGGGCACTGGAAGCGTTTGTTGAACAATGATGAGGTGACCCTCTGTCCTTGATGGTGCGCGAGTGCGTTACGGTTGGAAAGACTAAATTCGAATAACTGCACTTTCCACTGTGCCGAATTTCTAGAAAAGAAGAAGTAATTTGGTCTCTTCATCTCGTTAGACCAGTTCGACCGAGGAAATATCCGCGTACCAGGATCCGTACGTCACACCTTCTTGCGGGTCATATTGATGATCAGCGATGTTCTTGGCCATTTGGTCCACTGATTGTAAATCTGCGGGGAAGGAAGCGAGTCCCAATTGGCGAACTTCAGGACAAGCATTCACATCAGTTTGATGTGGGTTTGCAACGTCTGCTTCAAATCAGCATCGGCAGATTCGCTTACAATATTTAATCGGGTCACACGTTTTCTACTTGCTTTAAAATCCAGGGGAAATGCAAGACTTGTCGTCCGAAGTGTAATTGTGCATATGACGACTGACAGTTGCTCAACCAGAAGAAGTATAGTTAAATTTTTTGAAAATTGCAGCAGATAAAATGGAACGTCGAACGATCGATGGCGTAAGTGGCTCACACTTAATTATTCAACCGGAAGCGAAAAGAAACATGCCATTCCAACGTCAAAGCTGGCGCTAATGAAAAAGTGCGTAAATAAAGCGAAAATGTTGTAATGTTTCGCTTCCAATGAAATCCTCAAAATAAATCATTTTAGGGATGCAAACTACTCTAACAGCAAAGTGACGGCTGATTAAGACGCAACAGTGAAAGTCGCAATGAGATGTTTCATCGGGGATCTCAGTGGCATAGTGCTTATGGCGTCAATCATGAGCCACTAGGCTCTGAGTTCCAGCCCAACTCAGGCTATCTCCAACTGATGAGTCCCAACCAGGACGAAACCGCGGTCTTGGGGTGCCAGTGTTGAGATGAGCAACACTATTATGTTTCCATGTTTCATCCTTGTACATTTATTGTCGCATTACATCCAGCTGTGGTGACCGAGTGTTGTTGATGTGGTGTAAGCGCCTTGGCCCTAAATATTTGCTTACTGCATTTATGCTCTTCATTAGGTCCCTATTCTTTCTCTCCCTTCTATTATTCTTCATTCTGCGTAAAATTGTGGTTATATTACTATGAAGCATCAGTTAACTGACTGATATGCTGCTGCCTATGTTGATGGTTAGATTACGTTTTGCAGCCCAAACGTTGTCGGGCACTCCGGACTAAGAAATGAGAATTGTTAGAGTCCATTGATGTTTCTGCGTATTCCTTACCCTTTTGGATAGCCTTTGCTCTTTCTTCATAGTGTGCATTCTGTATTCAATATACTTTTAAGATAGGAAACAATTTGCTTTCGCAAGCCACTCTTTGGAAGTTTCAAGTTTATTATATTTTCCACTCCTGCTAGTATAATACTCGATACGTTCCTTTGTGGGGAACGTCATCGCCGTCTGCATCTCTACTGCTTCCGGTGAACTTAACTAATCATCTTTCTTGTGACCACCCTCTACCCCATTCCCCTTGTTGATGGCTTCACTGCTTTCGAACTCCATATCCTTTCAGGTAGAGGAAAAGCTAACCACCGCCCGTATCAACAATATCGGCATTTGTTTGCCAGACCGATCGCCCTATGATGCTTTGGATGGCTTTCCATGGTCGGATGAACTAGCTGCGGTTAGAAGCCGCGTGTTTCACATTGAAAACTTCCGTCCACTTCAGCTGAGGGCAATGAACGCTACCCTGGACGGGAAGGATGTTATTCTCGTCATGCCTACAGGTAGCGTGTGTCCCTCAGCATTGATACAGATGTTGAATCCTTTAATCACCACATTTGTTAGCAGAGCGAGATTGTGGTACTGAGTGTAACTCCAGTACTCCTGTATGTTATCCAGTTCCTCATGAGAAGAACATGTGAGGATACCTTTTCTAGGGTTAATGCTACCATTATGCTTTCGATTTTTTCGCTTCGTGTTGGCGATTCATGACAGGATGTCATTCTACAAATCGCGATTATAAACGGGAGAGACGCTTCCTTGAGAAGCAACTAATTTATCGTCGGTATATGCTAAGGTGTGGCTGGTGCACTTATGCAGTTACGTTTCCTGGAACAGAGCACTTGTCTGTTTTATGGGAGCACTCCATGTCCTTGTTCCTTATGGGCAAGTAAGTAACTTCGAATCAGTCGCTGCACAACCACTTATTGCCGTCAGCCGTCGCACAGTTCGGCACATACCAGTTTCAGTTTAACACGCCGCCTTACAATTGAGGTATCATTAAGGTCAGCAGTTGATACCGACCATATTCATTCGCGAATTTAGCGTGGGGCTGTTGAGTTCATCTTATCACTGCGTGGTTTCTCCCAACCTCGTCAATTTCGGCCTGTACACTCACTGGAAATTCCCACCTCAGGAACGCACATAACAGTGCTTGTGTAAATTCGTGTTTGACAATTGTACTCGTTCCATGATGTCAGAGATGGCAGTGGCAGCTATTGGTTGCTTTCCCAACGCTTATCTTGAAGGC